AAAAAAAAAAAAAAAAAAAAAAAAAAAAAAAAAAAAGGAAGACCAAAACCTGTTGTCTTACCATTTTGCCACACCCCATTTATATTTGACATTGATAAAACTAATATATTGTTATTGGTTGTCTTCAATTTTATTCTAAACATTTATAAAGTAAATTAGATTATTAATATAATTTTGATATGTGTAAATATAAAATAAAATTGATGAATTCGTTATAGAAAAAGAGGATAATTTATTAGTAACTAAGACTATAAATGCGCTCTTACATAACTAAAATCAAGAGCTTTCTTAATTCATATATATAGTCAAAACTACTAATGAAGGTGATTGAATACAAAAAGTTAACTTTATCAGAAAGCACACATGAACAAAAATGTGTGGTTCCCGTAGTGATCCAAACTACAGTTGCTTAGACCATTGGATGGAGATAATCAGTAGAATGGTAGCAGCAATTTTGGTGGAAATCACGGCCGCTGTGGCAGAAAAGATGGCGGCGCTGCCGTCCAATCGGTCAAGGAACGCAGCAAACCTGAAAACAATGGTTTTGAACACGGCATGTATATTTGTCTTTTCCTCCTAATTTTTGTTTTGGAGAGTACGTCCTAACACAATTTTCTCATTGATTTTGAGTGCTGTCCATTCTAATCGTGAAATTGCTTTCGCTTTTCATTTGGTTTTTGTCATTCGATTCAAAATGTTTTTTTTCTTTCGTACAAGTTCAATATATATATATGTATATATATATTGGATATGTTTGTTGTTCTTTTGGTTTACTTAATGGGTTGTTGACTCACTGTTTTGTAAAAGATGACTCATTTATGTTCTTATCGTACTCTATTATTTGCCCCATTGTTTTTTCCCCCCCAAGAATTGGCTTCCTTTGAAATTTTAGTTTGTAACAATCGGGATACTGATTATGATTCATTTGCAATTGTTTTAACTTGTACCGTTTAATAATACATTTTGTGTCGCTCATACTATAATTCTATTCACAATTTTTTCTTTTTTCTTTTTAAACTCTTCACACTCTTTTTTAAAATATACGCATCTCTACGTACTTTTTAACTTCATTGTTACATATTCTTACTATTACAAAATAACCCTAACTATTTTTACTTTGATTTAAAAGGGAGTATTAAATTAAGTGGGTTTGTGATTAGAACTGCTTTGTAGTGTTTTTATTTTTTTTTATTTCAATGTGATTCTTACTTGAACCTATATGGATCGTCACTTGGTATTGTTGATCATTTATAATCTTGAACAAACATCTCTTTAAATGTAATAAAGAAACATATGTTCGGTAATAAGAGTTATATGAAATAAATAATATGTTTGTTGCAAATAAATATCAGACTACACATGAAATTAAATCTCAAAGAACCAACACAAAAGGATATATTATACTCTTAATAGTCATTTGTCACTTATTTATTTAGGAAATCTAGAGAATACCCCTTAACTTGAAGGGAAAAAACCTTTATTCGCATTTTTAAATGGTATGAAACTTATTCCCTCTTACTTTCTCAGTTTCTCCCATTTTTAATAGCTTAAAAATGATAGAATTCTAAAATAATGTCACAAAATTAAAGGAAAAATAAGACAAATATATTTTATAGTGTATGAGTTTGAATTTTTACTCTTTATTATTAATAAATGTCATGTTTAGTCAAATAACTATATTAGTTAAAAAAATATTAAATAAAAGTAAGTAGTAAAAATCTAAACTCGTACAATCTAAAAGTAAGTAAAAACAATGAGTGATGAGTTAAAGGGAGCAGTTGGACTTGGACCTACTCAACTTTGGATCATTCTAGCCTTGTTTGCTTGGCAGATTTAAGTTTTCAATTTGAGCTGAGATGTGACATTTTCTGAGAGCTTTTAACTTTAACAGAAAAAGTTAGATGTGACAATTTCTGAGAGCTTTTAACTGTAAAAATCTAGAACTGAAAACTCAAATTGGTGAAAAGAACGATGCCTCTGTTATCCGGAAGTTTGAGGAATAGCACTTCTATGGATTGCTAAACAAATAGTACATTTATGTAACAAATTGAGTTTGCAAAATAGAATTTGAGATATTAAAAAGACTAAAATGTCTAGGGTTTCATCTCCTTCTCATCGTTTATCTTTTACCTCTGCGCGCTAGAAGTTATCTTTTCCCTCCAGGCGAGGCTGGCTTCAATTCTTTCCTCCCTCCGTGAAAGGTCAATTCCGGTTTCCACCGCCCTCTCGAGGACAATGCTGATCTTATTCATTTGAGCGATGAGTTTCTCTTGAAAGTTTGAGTTCTTTTGGGTTCTCTTGTTGCAATTTTTAAAATTGTGGCTTGAGTAATGTTGTTTATATAAAAGTATCATGATATCTGTGTTGTTTGTTGAGATTTGTTAATAAGGGGTTTTTTTTTTTTTTTTTTTTTGTGGAAAATTTTTTTCCTTCTCTAAATCACCGGTTTTACTTTAATTTTGTATCCCCATGAAAAACTCTATACAATCACAAATTGAAGTAAACGATTGGTCTGCCATTGAGTAAATTAAACCAGTGGTTTACCGAAACGCAGACCAATGTCTTACTTTGATTTTATGTTTTCCTTGTGTGTATGATTTCTTTTTTCTTTCCTCTTGTAAAAACTAAGTTTACTCAAGAGTTTATTCTTTGCTAATACCCACTTTCTTGAAGTGATTGGGACATTAATGCTGCGTTTAGAGTAAGGATTCGTACCATGGTTCAGATCATGATTTATAACTCGTTATAATGTTTTCTCTCACAAAAAATATACGTAAACCGAGAATGATTTTATATCATAAGGCTGAACCAAGATAATGATATAACATATTAATGTAAATTGAACAACAAAGAATAAACGCTTTAAAAGCAGTTAGAGAACTAAACAAACATAGAACAAGCCCGTTAAAAGGCATCAGAGAGAACAAAAAAATTATAGGGCAACTTGGAAAAAAGGCATCATAGAATTAAAAAGAAAAAAAAGGCAATCATAAATATGTACTAGGCCATAGAAGCTCCCATTAGTGGTGGCAATTCGTATAATTAACCAATCGTTTTTGTGTCAATTAGAAAACACGAACATACATAGATATGATCGCAAGCCAAGGTGAAGTTGGAACATCACCTTGTTATCGGTCTAGGCCTCACCAATATGGCACATGGACTCAACCTCGATACTTGTCTCAAACCCTGGCATTGGCCTTATCGGCTTGGCTACCTTACCTAGACATCAATCCAGGCCCTGCTGGCCAGCCTAACGCATGCAATGATCCCAACTTGTTGTCTCGACTCCGTCTACTCAAACCTGTTACTAATGTTGGTCCACAATGTTTTTGGGTTACTTTTTAAATACTAAAACAAGAGATATTTTTTTTTAAATTTTTTGTTTGAAAAATTTAAGAACGAAAACATTACCAATTAATAGGCCTAATAATTTTTTCTCTTAATCTGTCCCCATATATTTATATATATAAGAGAAAATTTCAGAATTTATCCTTAAAAGTGCATAAGTCTAAATTTTTTTATCTCTCATTCGTGATTCATACCCTTTTGTTAGTACAATTATTTGACTGAAAATGTTATTAATCAAGATTAAAGAGTTGAATCCTAACCCATATACTTTTAACAGGTATTTGTCTTATTTCCCCTATTTATAAAGAATCACTTATAGTGTGAGCTCAAATAGAAGTCTTTATTCTTGTTTGATATATATGACATTGAACGCGCCCCTGTAAAAGGATTACCCTAGTCAAATTCTCAAACTACGTTAAATTAGTCTCGAAATTTTTGTACCCAACTTTACAATAACCAAGTGGGTATACATAGGTCATAGTTACCAATTGCTAACACATATTTACACTCCCATAGCATATGTCATGCCTGAGGCTTCCCGATAATTTCTTGTAAAGTTGGAGCTGAATGATCCGTAACTGTAATAACCACATGGTTGGGGCAATCTATCATGGGATTTTGATCTTCTTTATCGTGAACGTCAGGCTTTCCCGACGCCGGCGACTTTTCCGGCGAAACTTTAGGATCCATAGTGGTAGTACTCTTGAAGTGTGCAAGAGAGGCAAGTTCATTAACTGATTCGGCAATCTTTTCTGTGCAATTAACGACATCAAGAAGGATTGAGGCCACTGTAACTGAGGGTATTACTTCTAAAAGGTCGATATTGTCCCACGAGCCTGATTTTAGCAAGGATCTGAGGGACTTTGCCGCCACTTTGGAGCTTGCGAGGTGTGGATTAGCTGAGGATGGTTTGGTCATTTTCTTGACTGAAGTTGCTAGCTCCTTCAGTGCTTTGCCGGATTCCGAGCTAACTTTCATGCATGCTTCTTGGATTTGTTCTCTGATCTCTGGCGATGTCTGCAGAAATAGCACAAAATTTTCAAGGTTAGTTAAGCACTACTAACTTTTACAGCAAAGTACATTAATACTTTATTAGTTACTTTTGTATGGTTTTATGTATCCATTAATTAATCACATTTTTATGTGCTATATATTAGCTTAATTTCAACCAAATCATGCGAATAATTTAAGAACTGTGTTAGGGTGGGCGATAACATAGGGTGTGTTCGGCTGTCCAAAAAACTCAAAAAAGGCAACTCGAATTCTAATTTTATTCAAGTTCATGTTCTTTTAAGTTTGAACTCGAGTTTGAACTCGAATTTAAACTCGAGTTTGAACTCGAATTTGAACTCGAGTTTGGGACTAAAACTTGAGTTCAAGTGTCCCCTTCAACTCGAGTTCAGAAACTTGAACTCAAATTAATAAACAGTATTTTTTCTATTCTTAAAAATGTTATATCTTTTTCGTTAAAATCCTGATTGAGATTATTTTTTTTTCTATGCGTTGACAACGAAAAGACGAATAAACCCTACCCATATACACTATTAAAATTTTTCATCACCATTGAGTTTTTATTAAAATACTATCTAAATACAAATTTAAGTTTTGACTCACTCAAACACAAACTCAAAAAAGATTTTTATCTCAAACCATAACTCAAATGTACACAACTAAACACAAACTCAAGTTACAACTTCAACTCAAGTTATAATTCAAATTCAACTCAAAAATTACACTCAAGTCACACTTCAAAAAAACATGTCCATAGTCTCAATGCGCTTTAGGTCAGTTCAAAAGAGAATCTAACGGCTATCTATTATTTATCTGTCAAATTTAGTACAACACAATGTTTCTTTTTTTCTTTGTTCTTTTTGTTTTTGTTTTTTTATATGTGTGCGCGGAGTACTTCATTGACAAAAAGAGCATACTTAAATTGTTAATGTTTCGAAGTTTGGGGGAGAGAGAGAATCGTTGATTTCCAAATTTGATCTGTAATTATCAAGTTGAAATTAAAAAATTGGGGTACTCGTTCTCTGTATCATATTACACTAAAATATGACACTGTAGAATAATTTAATTAAATTTTTAGCGTTCTGCTTAGTAGTATAGTTGTTGTAATTAACACTTATGTGCAATATTAATGAAATAATTAAGCAGAAATAAATACTATAGATGTAGATTTAGGGGTAATTAATGATGTATTACTTGGATCTTATCAGCACTAAGGCGGCCATGAAGTGCCTCAATTCGATAGGCGCATTGGCGTGTCAGAGTTCCAACTTTAAGGTATTGTTTCCACGGATGACGAAATTTGAATCGACCATGACCTGGCTCCCATCTTGCAAAGTTTGCCTGCAGCATATATATATATATATATATATATACACAATATTATATTAGATTATATATTATATTACATTAATATATATTATTATTAAAATCATGTTTGACGACAAAGATGTGAAAAAGAGAGAGAGAGAGAGAGAGAGGAAGATCAGGACCCACGTACCAAAGATTCTTCGCTACTTTTTGAGTTGAGCACACTTTTATATCCTTGCAGATATGCCTTGTCGTCTTTGGACTCTTCATTCATTGCTGTGTTATTAAAATATTCATCTCCAAAACCTGTAAAATACTATTACTTGTTTAATGATCATGTTTTAGGTTTGTACATTGAATTTATAATGATAATTAACTAACTCACTCCTTTAATATTTACGTTAGTTTAGTTGGACGTGCGGGCTTTAATTAAGTACTCCTTGTAGTGATTAATTACGGTTTCGTTCACTTCACAAATTCAAGTTTTATTACAGTAAAAAATTCTCAGAAATAGTTACATCTAATTTTTTTGTTACAGTAAAAATCTCTCACATAAAATCACAACTTAACTCGAATATAAACTCGAATAGCGAACTAAACGAGCCCGTACTATTTGCTTTTCTATTTTTTGATTTTTTTTCCCTGACAATATTAAAAACTTTACGCGTTATTATATACATTCTATGAGCCAGGACCGTTCAATGTTTTCATCAGGTGTTTCTAGAGGGACCATATTATAAGACCGTTTACAAACAGTTAATATATGAAATTGATAAAGGCTATATGTTTTTATTCTTTGGAAAATAACAAATCTTGCAAGGAATCACAAAGTTCTTCAAGCCGTACATTCATCAAACTCACGAACCATATCTATCAATTTGAATTACAAAGTTGATACATATATATATATATATATATAGTACGTACCTTCTAAGAAATTTCCAAGCTTTTCCAAGTTGAGAGCAATCAAATTATGAAGATCTTCACCAGCCCACACAGGACAAACCAAAATGGAGATAACAACGCAGGCAGAGCCTCCAATGAGGATGGTCGAAAGCCTCTTATGAGCCATCTCCAAAATCTCATCGTCTCGAAAACCCGAGACAGAAATCAAAGAAAATGTCAAAATAAATATCAGCAACCCGTAGTCATATCTTGCCTTCACTTTCGGAAAGAACCTTATAAATGTTGATGTTGCAGCTGAAAAAAAAAAAACACAATAATTTATAACACTTTAATATATATATATATATATATATCATATCTTAGTCAAGTAATAAATACTCTACTTTTCTCTATGGCAATTAATAATATTCAATTAGTTTACTGAGGACGTTTGGTTGGAGAATTCAAACCATGTGATTCGAACCATTTTCAATTTACGTGAATTTTTTATGAAAAAAAATACTGTAGCGAACCATGAATCATGATTCGAATCATGGAACAAATCCCTCTACTAAACATCCTAATTACATCACTGTCTAAGTCATGATCAATAAAGTTAGATTTTTGTGACGCACCTTGTAGGAAAACAAAAAATCCAAGTAATATGGGCTCCCCTATATCACCAGATAAGCTAGCCAAATGATGAGCTCCAACACCTAAAGCGCCAGCTAGCAAAGTTGCCAAACCCCTATTTAGACCTTTTCCAAGAGTGGCACCTGATCAAATTAAACCATCTCAAAATCATTAGCATGGAACATTATACACAACTTTTTATTACCTCCTAATTTGCATAATCTTAATTAATTTCCTCTTATAATTATGGAAAACTCTTATAATACATATATATGATATGAAATGTTGCATCTAATAAATATGTGCCATGCTTTGTAAACTGAATAGTTAATACTAATTAGTATTATACACGTGACCAAAATTCAATTTCCATGGAAAAGTTACTTATGACACAAAAAAGAAGGTGAATTAGGAAACTTACCAACAGTGTATTCAAAAACGACAACAACAGTCATTACGGCCCACATGGCGGAGACACCGAAGTTGTCGTAAAGTGGCTGATAGTAGTAGAATATCGAGACTAGGCTAAGTGAAACTCCCACCTTAAGGGAATGAATAATTCTTCTTGGGTCATCTTTCCCAAGCTTTTTTACGTTATTCGCTACCTTAGAAACTTTTGCTCTCACATTTTCAGCCAAGTTCTTGAGCCATAACCAAGCAAGAACAAACATCCCAGCTGCTAATTTCTCATCATTTCTTGCGGACCTCGCCGTCTCCATCGCCGGAAAATGCTGTAAAGACAAGTAGTACTTGGCATGAACTGATCAGAGAGATCAAAGGAAAGGAATAGATATAGATGGTGTAGAAGTTGTTTTGGATGGCTCATATTTATAAGAACAAAAAATGAAAAAGATCACCCAAGTGGGAGTCTTTTTTTTTTTTTTTTTTCTCTTTTTTTTAAAGGAAAAAAAAAAGAACTATTTGAATATTGTAAACATTTTTTTTTGTGGATCGAACTTTTGGCATCGTACGATGCAAGTACAAAGAAATTTCACTAAATAAGTAGTTGAATATATATATATATATATATTATAAAAGGAAATAAGTGCATTAATTGTAACGCACTGGTAAAATATGTTGCTTCCTATCAATGGGAGCCCATAATTTTCTACCTTAAAACCTAAGGGGTAAACTGTAAAGGATATTTCTAGCAGTGGAATAAACTTTTTACCATTTTTTTTTTTTTGCTTTTGTAATTTGCTTTTTGCGCGTGTACTTTTCCAGTTGTTTACTGTTATACCGAGTAAAAAGAGTCCAAGTTGATCTCTTCGAGATGTTGACAACATAGCCGTGTATTGCAAATGATGATCTGTTTTCCAGGGTTCAACTCTCACCAAAAAAGTACTGCGCCGACTCTTCATAATACTACCGTCGTTTTCTGTAATCCTCATCTCCTTATTGATCACCCGAATTTCGTAGAAAGAAGCTTATAAGAAAGATCATGATGTTTCTGTAATAAGGAAAAAGGTGGTTACGATTGAAACCAATTTGTATATTATATATATATATATATATAATTATATATAAAGCACCACGCGTATATTAAGGAAAGAAAAGAATTAATGTGTCCAGTTGTATTTTGCACTAGCTAGCTACTGCACAACAAAAGCAGATGGTAAACGAAAAATCATAATTGTCGTACAGGGGCATTCAAATAGTTTGGCCTGTTTGGTTAATAGATAATTTGGACATAATATTTTGATAAAATTAAAATTTATTTAAATTTTTGTGAAAAAACAAAAACTTACGTTGTATTGTTTCGCGGTGTCATGCTAGCCCTAGCTACCTTCATTTATAAGAATGTTGTATCTATTCTCCATGTTTTAGAAATTATTAAAACGTGTTTTTGGTCAAAATCTCCATGTTTTAGAAATTATGCTAAAACGTGTTTTTGGTCAAAATAACTCTGCGTAAAGACAATTTTAACCTATCAAGTTTCCTGCGTAAATGACAATTTTTGCCATTTAAAAGTGCTATCAGCTAGTAAGTTTCGTGCTATGGAACTTATAAATAATACGTCCATGCATTCCGCTGGTTTTACCCATTTGTAACGTGATCATATTTCGACACAAAAGAATATGTTATGTAGCAATTCAGAAATGGAAAAAGTAAATATTTAGCACAATTTTTTTTTTTTTTTGGAAATATTTAGCAAATTAAGACAAAGGAATGGTAAATCAAGAAAACGGAAACAAGAAGATGGTTAGCCTTATTTCTATTACAAATAGTGATAAAGTAGTTTGAAACTAAAGTAGGGGATAAAAGATCAGACTAATTACTAGTATTGTATATAATTTTGTAAAATTGGCCAAACATATCAAACCTGTGAAGAATTCACGCCGTCCAAACTAAATCATTATTTTAAACAAATAAATTAAAAAAGAAAGACAGAAGAGGAAAAAAGGAAACAGATTGGAAAATTGTAGTACACTCCCGATACTATAAAGCAAACACATTTAACTTATCATACAGAAATAGACCCAAATTAATCCTCATCAGATAGAATATTCCTTGCTATTTATTTATTTATTTATTTAGTTTTTAGGACCGCAAAAGAATATGCCAATGAGTAGATCACATGTTCTCTTTGCAAGTAACTTCAGGGTGCAATATGAGCCTTTCTTTTTCTTTTTCTTTTCTTTTTTTTTTCGATACAATTTATTTTATTTTATTGATAAAATTCTGTATATATATTTTATTTACTGCTAAATAAAAGTGGAAACATGATCAAGTGGCTGACAAAAGGTACGTAATAAGCAATTTATCAAGCACAGCACATAGAATATCAAAGAAAACCGGCATAATATAATCACTATATCAAGCAAGAGATGTACGTATTCACCAGACATTTTAAAGCAAATGCAAACTTATTATAGGAAATATTTTTCCAACGTATATATGCATCTTCTATCTAACCCCTCTAACAATTAAGAAAAAACATTTATATGCTGTCTTATAAAGATAATTTATCATGCTTCTACTTATACTCATGTTATGCTCTAAAAAGAATGTATTCCAGCCATAACAAAAAGAAAAAGAGAGAGAGAAAAAAAAAAAGATATTCTCTAAAGATCATTCTGCAGGTTGTTGTTCGATTAGTAGCTGGCTGCCCCGGGATCAAAATTAACAACGTTATTATCGCTAACAACGCTTTTTTTATTATTATTTTAAAATGCATAATTAATGAATATAGAAATTAAAATAACTATATAGATCGGGGTAAATAATACATCTCAACTAAGTTGACACCCATTAAAAAACTCATCCCACACTAAACCTTCCATATATGGCCAATCGATCCACATCTCTATTGCCTTCCTTATAGATATATATATATATATATATATATATATATATATACACAACAAAATTCTTAGTTGAAAGCTTAGCAATCATGTTCAATCTTACCTTAAGTTCCCAAGGAATCGAATAGCTATCAGTTCAACCACTTTACAATAACCATCAGTTCTACTTCATAGCAAAAGCAATTATAAGAGAAGAAGAAAAACAGACTCTATTATAAGAGAAAGTAGAGGATGAAAGGAAGAGAAAGAGATGAAGCCCTAATGGATATTTTAGTTATTTTATTAATTCTTTTAAAATGGCATGCCACATAAATGGTATATTTAAATGTAACGTTACAGAAATGGTATATTTCATGTCTACTCGGTCTGCATATAACATGATTAGGTTCCTAATTATCCGAATTCTGGTATGAATTTGAGTTGAAGATATTTGACAGCTGGAATATATTTGGAAGCTGGTCTGATGGGAGAATATATTCAGCTCTAAACTTAAGAAGTTATATGATCTAAACCGTTTCTCGGGCTTAAACTTCGCATATGTAATTGATCATATGTTGTGATTTACATTTTCAGAACGCAAAAATAGTTCCAATCGTTATTTGAAGTTTGATAGAAGATCTATTTCTAGTGGCGTGATTAAAGCCTTTGTTTGTTTTTTTTCCTCATTGAGCCTTTTGCCACGTCAAGTAGTAATATCAATATAGTGTTCTTATTTCTTATGGTTAATTACTTATTATGCACAAGTATATATATTGATTCATATTAATAATCTAATAATTATGTTAATTGGTTTGTCTGATTTCCTAGTCACCAGAATTATTGTTTGTCCGGTCTAATTAAGAAAGTGAAATTTTTGTGCAATGTATTTTCTTTTATTTTTTGTATCATCACAAACGTTTCTTGCTATTTTATAAATATTAAAATTATATTCTAATGATGTAATTGTTTTGATAATGTTAAAATGATAATCCAAAAATGTGTCCTTCAAGTACGTATGCTCAAATCTTACTAAATAAAAAAAATTCTTTTTTATTTTTAATTAATTATTAACTCCAAATTAATTTCCCTCAAAATAATAGCTTCTTTGCTTTAGTTCATACTAGGTTTTCCCCTTTACAAAAAAGTATTCCACTATGATAAATAGTCATGCTAATTAAAAAATTAGTTTGCAATTCTATTTTTCAGTAGTGAAATTCGATTAGTACATATTCAATACAATTTACTAAAGCGTTCCCTTTAAAACATAAAGTCTAAATATTTCATACATTAATCACTCGACACAATTAGTGCACAAGCACTTTACTGATTAGTTCAAGGTACATATGTTAAAAGAAGTTTTTCTAAATTACAAAAGTGGATACAAAGTCCACGGTTACCTCACAAAATGAACATATCGTCAAGTGGTGACCAGAAAAAGGCTAAATGAACTGAAGGCGTGGTGGGGTTTGAGTTGGTTTCCACTAGCTCATATGTAATATATATATATATATATATATATATATATATATTATATGTATATGTGCGTTACTATATAATATTTGTTAGAAAGCATGGAGAAATTAGCAGCAACTTTTCAAGGATATGTGGTATTGTGTATCACTCACTTTTTATACTTCATTATCACCTTTAGACTAATTCTGCCTAAACATCCAACTTTTATAGGATTTGACTTTTTTATATTGATTATCTTTTTATATACATAAACAATACTTTGTTATGCCGATTAAAAAATTTGAGTTTGATCTTATGACTTCATGCTCACAGCATCTTTGGTTTCTGGTAAAAGCATAAATTATATGCTAAAGTAAACAAATAATGTATGCGTGCACGGATTGATAAATGCACATCTTAATCCCCATTGTCTTGATCTATATATGTAAAACTTTTTTTGTTTTTTTGTTTTTCCATTCAACTTGTCCACACAAACTCTCAATTTTTTTTATTAAAGTTTAACGTTCTCCTCTCTGAAATGATTCATCATATAGTCTACTGATCATCAGCATAATATTCTATTTTAACAACAATGATCTCGTGGGGTTAATAGCTTTGTTAATCAATGAACTTTGAGCACAGTAATACTTTGGTATTTAAACTTTTAATTTAGACATATTTATATTTTTTTGACAGTTTTGATTCGTGAAAGTAAATTTGACAAATGGTTATTTCTAAAATTTAGCCTAAGTAATCACACCATTATCGCATACTAAATGGAATTTTACATAATAGTTACAATATGTGCAAAATATTATAGTTTTTAATAAGTTTTAATAGTAATAAAAAGAAAAATTTGCATATAACATAACACTTTCTGTAAAAGTTTAAATTATCATGCGACAGACACATGTTTATTTTTGTTAAATTTCAGAAATCGCTTGTCAATTTTATTGTCCCAAAACTGAAAAAAAATAAAAGCTATAGACTAAATATATTCTTAAATTAAAAGTTCAGAAATTAAAAT